CATCCCAGGTAAATGAGATCAATCCAAACCCACAGGCTCCTGGGGAGGGCACTTGCTGCTTCCAACCATAAGATGAACAAGGAGTCATCTTCTGCTTCAGGGAGCCAGCTAAACTTTAAAGGGATTAGAGGGGAACTGTTTCCTCCCTATCTCCCTCCCTTGCTTGAGCATCCCTAAGAAAATTGGTTAGGTGCCTCGTAAGGATGAGTTTTTATTTTTCAATGAACAATTGTCTGTCAGAAAAATGCAGATTTGATGAAGCTTAAGTGCTTTGTGGGATTCCATCAATTATAGCTCAAAATTCATTGGGAAATTAGGAGAGCGTTTCATTTTGACAAGGTTGAAATGGTTTGCTTTCCACTGCCTAATTTTGTTTTTATTTCAGGCTCTACACTGCGATAATGCAATATGTGACATAAAGCTCCAGATGATAATGTTGGAGTTAAACATTTCTCCCTCCTTCATGTGAAGGAGATGTTTTGAACTAAAGATTTTGGAGTTTTCATATATGTGAGGGATTTCTCCCCCCCAAACACCCGTTTTCCCCCCCGAAATATCAGTTCTCAGCACCATCCACTTCATTTTGAAGTACAACCCACTCTCTATGGCCCTCAAGCCACCCCCGGGTGACTTGTGCTGGAAGGAGGAGATGGGAGCAACTGTTCTTCTCTTTCACCTCTAATCCTATTTCTCCCTGAACGGTTACTCTCTTAAATGAAGCCATTTCCCTGCCCTGCTCTGCAGCAGCCAAGGAACAGCCCATCATTTGGATGTGGAAAAGAGCAAAAGAAAAGGATGAGCTCCAGACAGGCTGCATTAAGGTCGGATGCCTGTGTGGACCACGTCAAATTTCTCCTCCTTCTGTAGCTATAAAGGCTGGGGCCAGCTTCACATCAGTGTCACCATGGGCCACAGCTTCATTAAGAGACTCTCTGGTAGATGCTCTCCCTTCTGCATACTTCTGAGCCCAAGAAACCCCCCTGCCTAATGGGCTGACCCTGTGATCATGGAAAAGAACAGTTCATATGGTCCTTGAAGGCAAAATATACTTTCATCTCACTCAACTTAGAAAGAAATCTGTGCTAGAAGAAGCTCAGCCTGAGAACAGGGTGATCAGCAGCAGGATTTCGTGTCTGTGCAGAACAGCAGCACCCTGGGCTTGGTGAGCTCTCCTACCTCCTCCTGACACCTCTCCCAAAGTGGGATGAAGCCAACATTGTTGGCTTCCATGGCACAAATCACTCTCTTCTGACCTAAAAGGCTAATAACTCACCAACATCTTCAGGCATTACCCCTTTTATTCCCTTGAGGCTGCAATCCTGCCTCACTGGGGCTCACAAACAGGCATGGCCATGGGGCAGCAGATGCAAGCAACCTCCTTCTCCCTGGGTAGATGAGAGGACTGACATCAATGAGTGAAGTCATGCTGAGAGACAGGTGGGGAAACCTGAATTAAAGCCATTTTACAGGTGTTTCCTTCAGTCCCTCAGGGCCAATTCACAGGTTTTCATCTCAAATTATAAATCACCAACACATGAGGGTTAAGCACTTCCCCTCCTTCAGTATTGTCCCTCTGGGCTGAGCAGCAATATATATTCCTTTACTGGCAATAATCTGATTTATTCCTCCAGCACAGTTAATCCTGGTTTGCTGTGATCACTGCAAGATGGTATGGACTCAATGTGCAGAGAGGAGCCACCAGATTTAGAGTAGCTTGTTGGGATTCTGTTTTCTTGGGATACTCCCCAGACCCGACAGCAATTCTAGGCTACAACAAGGAAAAGCAGCAAAGAAACAGGTTTTCTAGAGCTTGGGGGTTGCGTTGTTATGTTGCAAGGTGGGGCTTAAAGACAAGGGTCCAGTTAGTAATGCCAAGGTCTTTGCAAGGTTGCAGCTTATCCTTCTTAAAGGTATCCAAATGAAAAAGGCCTCCGATAAGAAAAGAACTGCAGGAAGCCTTTAGGCACTAATGCCATCTACTGGGTACCCGTAAAAATAACACAAAAGCCATGAGATGAGGGGGAAAAGGGCCCATCCCCATGTGTAGCGTGGGACGGAAGTCGGGGACCGCATTGCAGAGTCTTTGAGGTCTTTTAAATGATGCCTCATATGTAACTAAAGCAAAGTGACATCCTCTTTTCTCCTTCCTGAGCCCAGTAAGAGTGTCTTAAGAGAGGCTCCACCATGAGCTGCATCAAACCACCCTCTACCTTTTAACCAAGTCCTTTTAAAGCCAAACAATTAGGTAATGGCAGAGCCCACACCACTAAAGAGCCTAAAGATGAATGCATCCCCAGTCCTCACAGAATTACTGGAAGCTGTTTTAAAGGCCTGGAGAAGCTGGTAACAGATGATGATTATATATAAAAGGAATAAGAAATCTTTGAGATTTGTGCTGCTCCCTGGTTGAGCTGCTGGGCTCCAGCTCTGCTGTGTATTAATTGCTTACAAGGCTGCATGTATATTTTATGCTCAGTACCTGCCCGGAACATTTGTTGGATTTAGCCTTGATTGATGAACCACTGATGATGTACTTCTGTGGTCCTCAGCAAATTAATACACTGTTGACTGGTAAAGATTAACAACATGTCATGATTTGCAAAACAGTGTCCAGAGTAAAGCTGGAGCAAACCTAGTGCTAAAATTAGTAGGCAAATGCTCCTTGAACTCCATAAAAAGGGGAGAGCTTAATTAAATTACGTCCTGATGTTGCCCGCAGCACTTACCAAATTGGCAAATGGAGTTCACAGCAGTTCAGCTCTAAAACTAACTGATAGCCCCACAACGACCCCATCCCTGCTCACACTGGAAGCGTGGCTTGCACCCAGCAGACTTCAGAAGCAGGGTCAGGATGAGGAAAGGATGTATTACACAGTGCAGAAGGTGCTGCAAGGTCGCACACTGGGGATGCAGCAAGCTCCAGAAGCCTGCTCCCATCACCTGCAGCCTCGCTTAATACCATGAGCATGACACAGGTCAGGGGCAGCACTGCCTGCCCACCCATTAGGCTTTTCCCCAGACAATGGCCATGGACCATGGTCAGAAACATGGGACAGTGTCCTCCAGACCTTTGTTCCCCATTGCTGGGGACCTACAAGCAGGCAGTGAGTGTAAAACAGGGTTGGAACTGCTGGGAGAGATGGAGCATTGTGCCTCTGGTGTCAGTCCCCTGAGAAGCAGGGAGAGATGTGGACCAGAGGTGGAATGCAGCAGCCATCTCCAAATAACACCCAGGGAGCTCAGCTCTGCTGTCCTCAGTCTGCAGCTGAGAATGAGGAGCTGGGGGGGGGGCTTCACCCCACAACTGGGGGCTGTGGAGAGGCGCAGAGCAGCCTCATGCTCCTGCAGTGGGGAGAAAAAGAGGAGAGGGAGGAGAGATGAGCATCTCTGCAGCCATCTCCTGTCCCCATGGGACGTATGGCCCTGGGAGCAGGAGAACATGGGATCCCATGGTCTTCATGTGTCCCTTCTTACCCACAGCTCCCAGGGAGGAGACATACTCCATGAGAATGGCTCCTGCTTGCTTCTCCATCCGCCCCTGCTGCCTGCTGTATACAGTTTATCCTCTGCATAAAGCCTCAGTTAGGCATTACAGAACAGGGGGTTATTCTCCCTGAGTGACACAGGTTTCAATTTCCACCTCTCCATGTGCCACGTGGAGCTCTAGGCCTGTAATTTATTGACAATTTCAATCTTAATATATCCTGGCTTCTAAAAAGAGGCATCTCTCCCCCAGCGGCACGGGGAGATTGAGTCCCAATTTCTTCTGACAGTGTCTGGGAGGCATGTTGGCATTGAGAGCAAAATAACACCCAAAAATAGGGGGGAACCCCCCTAGATTGAGTAGAAAGGCAGCTGGAAAAGGCAATAAGAGACAGTAGGAAAAGAAAGGAGGAAAGGGAGACGAGCAGCAAGGGGGAGATGGCACCAGGCGCTGCTGGTGACACATGAGGCTGTCGTGCTAAATGGCCTTAACAAGCAACCAGAGAAGGGGATAATGAAAACGCCACCCCTGGGACAGCACCGCTTCAGCCTGACCTTTCCCTGTGCCGTGTGTAAACATCTTCAATAAATAAAGAGACACTTAACTCTTGCCTCTGCTCAGATGGGAGGGTTCAGCCCATGGCAAGAAGGAGGGGAAGGGGCAATGGTTTGAGGGGGCTTTGGAGCAGCAGGGATGCGTTTCGAGGGCAGCGGAGAGAGGGACAAGCTCTGGACCTGCCTCAGGGTTGCCACCCGCTGCTGGGTAGGCAGGAGCTCCTACAACAACCAACCAAGATTTCCCCCATCTTCCCAAGGCTCTGCCCCCAAGTCTGTATGTGTCATAGCAGACTCACACCAGGTCCACATGCAGGGAATCATAGAATCACAAGGTTGGAAAAGACCTTTAAAATCATCAAGTCCCAGTTTTAGCCCAGGAAGTGGTGATTTTGCTGTACGAGTGAGATGGGGTACAGCAGGGAGAGGTGCTGAGCTCTGCTGCTCCCACCTAGAAGCACAGTGAAACCCCTCTGTACATCAAAAGCTTGGAACATTTCAGAGCCTCTGCCCAAAACTAATGGTCTAGCATCTAATAGGTCTTTTGGAGGGGAGCCTGTAAAACCTGGGCCTCGGTAGATTGTCTGGCAAGATGTGAGCACATTCAGAAACAAATCAAAGCTCTGAGGGTGTCAGAGGGGCCCAGAGTGGGAGAGGATGGGGAGATGCTTCATCTTTCTCCCACACTGGGAAGCATGAGGCAGGAGAAAAAGCGAGGCTGCTCTATTGACAAGCAGGAAAACGACCACCAGCCTCAAGCATCTTTCTTTTGCTCATCTGAGCCCCTGGGCTGCTTCCCTGAGGTCCTTCAGACACATGTCTCCCCCCCCAGAGAGGGGAAGAGCCCACCACCAGCACACACATCCCCTTGGCCATGTCCCTGGGGAGAGAGCAGGCAATGTCCCCCTCTGCTTTGTCCCCAGAACAGGCACCAGCCTTGGGGTGAGCACCCATGTACCTACCACGCAGCCCGTGGAGTCCACCTTGCGATCTGAAACGCACTTGAAGTTGCGGGTGCAGCCACCGTTGTTGCGGGAGCAGTCTCGGACCGGCCCGAAGGAGGACAGCAAATCATTGATGGTTTCAAAGTAGGTGGACAGCATCGCTTCTTCCCTTGGAGAGAAAAGGCACCGTTAAGGCTGGCAGGGAGCTGGGAACACACAGTATGGGCAGGGGAACCCATAAAGAGAGCTGCTCTGGTAAAATCATGGCATTCTGATCAGCAAAACCAAGTCAAAGGAAGCTTCCCAAGAGGATTAAGGCTCTGTGACTACACTATATATAGTAAATTCGTCATGTAACATGAATGAAAATCAACCACTTATGGGGTGTCAAAGATACTATCTACCATTTCCATGCAAACTAGGAACTAAGAGATACTTTATTAGAAGCCTAGAGTTGTGTGTGATTCCAACCCCATATTAGACAACAGCGAATGCCCAACAGTAAAGCTCCTACTGAACGTTTCACAGCTGGGCCAAGCTTCCCTTCTTCTTCACACCTCATCCATCACCTGGGGGCACTGCCAAAGCTGGAAAGCCACATGAAACCTGGCTTTGCACCAAGGTGTGGACGTGGTGGCTCATCCCTGCATTTGGCTCTGGGGGATCTAGAGAATGGGACACATGGATGAGGACAACTTTCCGCTGCCCTGCTCCAGCCCATGATGGCTCTGCAAAGCCCCTGGCATGGCCATGCTGTGACATCCCTCTTAAGCAAGAAAGAAGCATAAGAAGGATAAGAGAGAGCCTTGGGAAGCTCCCAGCCCTGCACACAGCAGATTCTGCCTGTGACAAAGCATTCAGGCACTTTGCTTTCTGCTGGCTTCCTGTAAAGGCAACACGGATGCTTGTCAAGAGCTTTAAGCATCTCCAAGGTATTTGTCATCTTCAAAGCACGTGTTATTTATTAACCTACACCTGCAATCCATCTTGGCCAACAGATCCCGTCATCCTCTCGCCAACAGGACAAAGAGATTTATCCAAGGTCACAGAACAAGTCACTGATGGTGAAGGACTTGACCTCCATAGGCTGTTTATTAGATCTTTATACACAGGGGACTGCAAATGAACACTGACCCTTCTGACTTTGAAATAAGCCCTGAGGCAATGCCAGGAGTCAGAGGTCTCCCCTGCTCTCCCATCAGCACCTAAGAAACCACACAGTGACTCAACGCCCAGTGCTGGTCTCCCTGTTTTGGGATGGTTTTCATTTGATAACCCTGTGCTTGGCAATAAACAGCGGTGGGGGAATATTCAGCAGCCCCTGAGGACCACAGCACTGCTGTCTGGTACTAGCACTGCATTATCCATCAGCAGAGGGACCCTGCACGCACGCACACACACACAGTCACACTTATGCACACAGCCCTGCCAACACCAAATGCTCCTAAAAAATCATGAGTCAGGCATTAAAAATATATATATAATGAGATTGGCATAAAAATGATGAGATTTCAAAAATAAATCAAGCACTGGGTGGGTTGGGTTTTTTCCTTCCCTACATTTGCCTTCTGCTTTCTGAGCCTTTAGGGTATGATCGAGCTATTCCTTGCAAACTAAAGGGCTAGAAACTACCCAGGCACCAAACCCAAAGATATAAAGCCCTGTGAAGCATGGAAGTCACGACTTGGCAGGTTCCAGATTTCCAGACAATCACAGGACTCCAGAAGCTGGGACTTTCAATAAGGAAAACGCCATAAAACCAGAAAGATCTGGTAAATTGGCACATCCCTGCTCTAGGGAGGTGGAGGGCAGCTTCTCTGCTACCATGGGTCAAGGTGGAAAAGGTGCCCCAGCACTGGGGTAGCTCCGTGCCCTTCATGATGCCTATGACTGCATAGTTACTCCATACAGCAAATTCATGTCTGCGCTGTCTTCTTTCACCCCAATTAATGCTTCCCAATTTCCCTTGTGGTGATCAAGCTTCCAATATTCCCCCTTTTCTTGGCCCATCTCCTAGATTTTCCAGCATATTTGGAGCTCAATCTCCCTCTTGTCCTTTCTTGGTGATGTTTCAAATATCTTTAGAGGCCCTTTTCTATTAGCACTCTGTTCCCACCAGAATCTGCAGCTCCTCTGAAGTGAGGGAGTGAGAACAGCAGAATACATTAGATCAGGGCACGTATTTCTGCTGGAGAGAGAAAGGGCATATTAGTTACTACCCATATTATTTACTAACCAAAAAACACTGTTTATGTAGGGAAAATTATTTAAAACACATGACAACTCCTCCACCGCCCACCCGGAAAGCTCAGTCCCATCTGGTCTTCTTGAGGGGTTTCTCATCGTAGGTGGACTGTAAGAAGAACTGTGCCCCCATCCTCCATCCTGGCTTTTCCATGTGGGTACCAAACAACCAGACCCTCCTGCAGCTCCCACATCCCTGAAGGGAGAAGGTGAGTTGCTACAACTGCCTTAGGTGGTGGAAAGGAGACTCTGGAGAGCTGGATTGCTGTGAGGAGAAGCCAGTTCATCCCACACGGCGCCGTGCTCCTTGGTCTGGCAGGGGCAGCTCCTTGTGCTTTTAATCAAAACCGGGAAGCACAAACCAACCTTCTGCCTTTGGGAGGGCAGAGAATGGGAACAGAAACCTTGCTCTTCAGAATCACGCCTGGCATAATGGTGACCCCTGACAAAAGCACGGGCAGGTGCTGCCGAGCTGGGATGAGCCATTAAGCATATTAAAGCATTAACCTCACTGGAAGGTGGGTCAGCGGAGCCAGAGGGAAGCGTTCAAATGGCACCTGTGAGAGGAGAGGGCTGACACTGCTGCCTGCAGACAGAGGGCTGTTTGGCCAGATCACTTCAGTGTCATCAGTTGTTAGATCAGAGGAGCATCACTTCGACACAGCGCGCTGACAAGGGGGATGGCAGCAGATGAAAGGGCTGCCACGATGCTCGGAGCGAGCTGGGAGCAAGCTTTGCTTTCATAGAATCATAGAATCACAGTCTGGTTCGGGCTGGAAAGGACCTTAAGAGCATTCAGTTCCAACCTCCTGCCATGGGCAGGGACACCTCACCTTAGACCGTGTCACCCAAGGCTCTGTCCAACCTGCCCTTGAACACTGCCAGGGATGGAGCACCCACTACTTCTCTGGGCACCCTGTGGCAGCGCCTCAGCACCCTCACAGGGAAGAACTTCATCCTTATATCTAACCTGCCTAACCCGGAGGGGTCTAGGTGGAGCCAGGTTCAGGCAGGGAGGTGGGGCTGAGCCTCTGGCACTGTGGCTCCTTTTAATTTGGAGGGATGAAAAGCAATAATTAACTATCCACTTCCCGCAATGATCCCACAATGACTCTGGGACAGGTGACATGAAGCAGATGACTTTCCACCCCTGCAGCTCCAGCAGTGACTCCTGTGATCCCTCCCTGCTGCTGTACAGGACTGCAGCCCCCATCCCCAAATCCCAGAGCTGGAGAGAAGGCAGTGCCACCAAGGCAGGGGATGCTTGAGGAGCAACAGCAGCATCCGACCACCACCACTCAGGCACACCACATTAGACCAGCGCTGATGGATGAATCATTTTCCCTGCAGTAACAAGCTGCCTGCAAAAGAACAGCTCTTTTCTCTTGTTCTCCATCTATCCGTATTGAACTTCACTGAGTAACCCCCAGATCCCATCTGACAAGGCAGGATGGAGAAGACAGGCTCTGCAGTTCGTGGCATGCCTGGAGCACACTGGAGAGCCAGAGGAAGCTGCTGATGTCCCTGGATGGACACAGGCACTGAAATCACAGGGACCAGGTGGGGCTCAGCACCTGGTGTGATGGGCAATTCCCCACCACCCTGAAGCAGATGCCAGGTTCTATCAAAAAGGGCATTTTGGAACAAGCAACCTAATTTCTGGTGCCAGATTCTCTCCCGAAATACAGAAATAGCATGCAAGCACATGCACATGCTATTTCTTTAACTCTCCAGCCCTCTCAAAGACACACGCAGACACCCAAATGATACACTCGTAAATGAAATGCACTCCCCTCTCTACCAGCACCCTCTGATTACATCCCTGCAGCAGTAAACCCATCTTTTCTAACAACTTCTATTGCCACAAATGGCCAGTGTGGTGCACAACAGCAGGGCTCTGCCTGCCCTTGCACAGCTCCCCCAGTGCAGACCATGGCACCCACCCTCACCCAGTCCTGCGCCACCTCCTATCACCAACCTCATCTCAATTCCCTTGAAAATCCTTTTCTCCATCCTTCCCCCTTGTACCAGGCCCTCATTAATGAAGCAGATTCAGTGACAAATATCACTGGGGGTTATTTATTCATGAAATACCAACACCATGCAATTCTCAAAGCCTCCAAAGCACTCATCTCAATAAGCTCAGAGCTTCACGGTGCCTGTTCTCTGCAGCTCATCCTGGAAGGGGATTAGTGGGTGTTATCCATTCAGCTGCCCCTTTTTTATTGTCTGCTAATGGTTAAAGACTTCAGTGTCTTACAAAGTCAACCATCACTGAGAAAAACAAAGAGTAAGATGTGAGCTGGGGATGTGAGCTGCTCCACCATCTGTTCCCCTGAAAGGAGATTTGGGGTTCCTGAGTTTCTAGAGATAGGGTCCACAAGCAGCAAAAGGTGTGATGCTGTGTCAGCTGCAGCTTCACCTCAAAGTAGGGACCAGTGCAAGAACAGGGACCCAAACCCACCCAGTGCAACCCAGCCTCATGTCCAGCACCTTGCACTGTTTCCTAGTTCTATTGGTAAGACCCCGCTCACCAACAAGGTCAGAGGTGATGCATTTGTGAACCAGGGCAATACAATTTACTGCATTTTTCAGCTCAGTGGCTGCCTGGCTGAGCAACTCTGACCAGCTCTGGCCACAAAACAACTGCTGTATTGTGAGGCTTGAGAAAAGGCTGATCTGTTCACTGCGAGAGCCCACCAGAGATGTGCCTCCCTGTGCAGACTTTGCTTCCTTTTCCTGTTATGTCCACCCAGGGGATACACCTGGACATTCTCTGCCTTTCACCCTTCTTCCCTCCCCATCAGGTCATCTCTGATCTGGTTTTACCCTGAGGAAACCCCAGCCTTTGCTCTGTGGATGCTCACATGGGAGCAGTGGATGCTTTCCACTTCTAGTCCCCATTACAGTCCCATCCAGCCCTGG